ATTTGTATATTGCTGTTCCTGCAGAATGGGGCGATTCACCTTAGTGACCCCCACCATATCTACTGATCAGCTAACGCCACCCTCCCTCCTTTTTTGATGTTAAGCTCTGAGACTATGATTATTATGGCTACCGCAAATAAATTGCTTGGTACCAGACATGTTCGTACCTCATATTCCATCTCCCTAGCTTTCTTAATGAGTGCTTCCAATAGGTCTCCGCGTACATCTTTATGAACATTATATATGTATGCATGCGTCCTAATGAACAGATTACTTTACAAGAAGTTAGAACCTTAAAGAATAAAAAGAATAGGTTTTGTGAATAGTGAAGCAAGATTCAGCAGAACAATATAGTTAGGGATCAATGTAGGTAGTATGAACTGAAGGTAAGGTCGGTTGGCAGGACTTAGTGTACTAAATTATCATGACAGTCTTGTATATAGTAGACATCTGACATTGCAAAGTAACGTGTCTAAACATATTATAAAAAGATATTAACAGAACCAACAAAATTTCAGCATTTGTTTAACAATACTACAGAAGGGTAGTTAGTACTACAGGTAGTCGTAAAGTAAATCAATCTATGTATAATAAGAGCATAGTCAGTGTCATAATTCGTATTATCAAAGAATACATTAGGCTCAATAACTGAGTGTTATAAGGGAAACAAGCATGGTAAAGCAAGAGAACACTTGCCGCATAGCTATTTTAATCATTTTAAGTATTTTAATGACAATCGAATTTCAAGTATTGAACCTACATAATTACTAAGTGTTATTATATTGGTATTGGGACTAGTGTACTTTCCGTAGTTAAATATTGAAAAGCCATTGTCTCTCCACTCTACCAGCAGTTGAGATCTTTGAGGCGGGCTAGGGTGGACATGTTTATATGTTTTTCTAGGCTCCTTTTGAAACTGTCAGGCCTTTCACAGGATCTTATCTCAGAGGGTAGTTGGTTCCAAAGTTTGCAATATTTAATGGTGAAGAAGTTAGCTCTAGTGGTGAGTTTATGGGTGTTAACCTTGAGAAGGTAGTTGTGGTTGCGTAGTCCATACGATTTAGGATTAGCCCAGGTTATGGACGAGTTACTGTTACAGTGCTTTCTTATAACTTTGAATAAGAGAAATAAATTGCACTTCACTCTCCTTAACCATAAGGGCTCTAAGTCCAGTCGAATACATCTGTCAAGGTATTCTATTTGCTGACCATAGCCTAATATGCGTTTCGTAAGGAATCTTTGGACACTTTCAACCTTTTTTCTGTCTGCCGACTTGAAGCTACTGTATAAGTGGGCACAGTATTCAAGTTTGGGGCGAATGCATATCTTATATATGGCTAATCTGGCTTCTGGAGTGTAAAAGTTGCGTAGCACAAAGCCGGTTAGACGTTTACAATCAGATACCACCTTATTTGCATGTTCAGTAAAGGTAAGATCTGAGTATGTTATCCCGAGATCTGTGACTGTGTTTGTGTTTGAGACAAGGTCACCGTACATGTATAGACACATGCTAGGTTTCCAACGTCCGAAGTATGTTATCCCAGATTTAGCTGGATTGAACGTTAACTGCCACTTTTCACTCCAATTACATAGACTATTTAGGTCTTCTTGGATTTTACTAACAATATTCATATCATTATAGTCAAAATCATAGACAACTTTGAGGTCATCTGCAAAGAGGTATGGCTTGCCATACTTGATCATAGAGACAATATCATTTATGAATACAATGAATAGGGTAGGGCCAAGAACACTACCTTGTATCACGCCGCTGGTTATCGGTTTGGATGTTGATAAGTGATGGTTGACTTTAACTAACTGTTCTCTTCCTGTAAGAAAGGAAGTTATCCACTCAAGAAGCCTTCCACTTATTCCATAAGATAGGAGTTTCAGTATGAGTCTTTTATGTGGGACTTTATCAAAAGCTTTCCTAACATCTAGAAATAATGTTGCTGCCGAACGACCTTTGTCTACACATTCAGTAATGTGGTCGAAATAATCTAACTGGCACGTAATGCACGATCTTCTATTTAGGAAACCGTATTGGAAAGGGGATATTAAGTCATTCGAGAGCAAATACTGAACAATTTGCTTCTTTACAATCTTTTCCATCACACGTGAAACTACGGAAATATATAATCACTAGAGTGAAACAGTCTTTACAGAGAGCGTTTGAAACTTAAAACCGAAGAGCAAGTTCTGACATCTAGGGACAGGCTATTCCATATTTTAGAATACATGACTCTCAAGAAGTTTCCACGGAGTTTTGACTTAAAGGCTCTTATTGTTACTGTGTGAGTTTGGTTACGTAGATCGTAAGAGCCTTCCTGTGAAAATTGTATGTCCCTGTTACCTGAGAATGATATTTTGTGAAGGACCTTAAAGAAGAATATTAGGTTTGTAATAAGTCGTCTTGTCCAAAGTGGGTCAAGTTTTAGGATCATGCAGCGTGAGATGTAGTCTTTCTTACAATCGTAGCCAAGTAGTTTTGAGGTAAAATATCGTTAGATGCTTTCCATCCTTAGCTTATCACGTGTGGGAGTGCTACTTATAATAAATGGACAATATTGTAGTAGTGGCCTTACACATATTTTGTAAATGAACACGTGTTTTATTTTTAACGAATAGGTTCTGGGCAGTCTGTTTGCTTCTGGAGCCATTTAGGAATATGCTCTTTTGATTGCAGACATTGATGAATTCTCCCTAAATGGATATAGCGGCCCCTTCTAAAGCTTACGTCCGTAGCTTTAACAGATGTCGGACACTACGTCTACATGATTCCAAAATAATCCTGCGAATTGCTGTTGTACAAACGCACATAATATGGCTTCAGGATAATAGAAAAATTCGGAACTTCATGAAATCAAGCTCAATAATTGGACAAAATGACGCACATCTCAGATGTCCTTACGCACCTGATCACGCTGGTGTTATTCAAAACCAGAAAAGTACTAGAATATTTTGTAGCGTCCCTTTATCTCGGTTAAAAATCTTGATGGAAAATAGTGAATGTTGCGACTGATCGTGAAAAATACTGCAGTTTCTGCCCATTTGAAAGCAATAATCTCCGCTTGTGACTATGGATTCCACTGAATTTTTGTAATCAAAACGCCACACAAAAGTGCAGAGGCATGCTCAACAATACTCTTCGGTTCCTGCAACAGAAATAGGTAATACACAGCAGCTGATTGGGAAATTCACGACCGAGTACAGGTTACCAGCAAGCTGCAAAGAAACTTTTCGAAAAACAGTGGTCAAAATGTATGCAAAGCACATTCGCTATGCATAATAATCATAGGATGATCCGTATATTTAAGCGTCCTGCAGCACAAGCAATATGCAATTGCTCAAGAACAATGGTGAACATAAATTTTCATATAAATTCATCCGACAAGAGCAAAATAAGCACCAAAATCAAATCAACTGCATTTGCCTAGAGAACCAATTCAAATCAACTAAGGCACGCAAAAGCCAATAAAGTCAATCAGGTGGCGCCACTTCACCTATGGGATATGCCCTATGATCTGCCGAAGAAAGTGGGTTTCATCTGATAGTCTTTACTTGATTGAATATGCTCAGATATGGAACCAACTGCCTACTGAAATGCGGCTAGCGACCACATTGGCCTCCTTTGGAAAGGTACTTATTAACACACTAAGAGAGTTTGCAAGAGATACTAGTGCCAATTCCCATGCAAGAGCTTCAGAAATGATAGGTTCATTTAATGTGTGAACTTAGAGACTGCATCTGTTGTTTGTTTTTGCCTTTGCATATAATTTCAGACAAAAGACAGGAATAATGACAAAAGCCCCCAAACAAATATGAGTCGGTCGTGCAATATCTACCGGATGCCAGGAATGAAACAAAACATACGTACTAATGAAATATGGGAAAACTAGGTCAGAACGTACCACATTATTACATGAAAAGATATGAGTTACTTAAAAATTACTTATACCTCACCAACCAGCCTACTTTCTGAAAAGAATAAGGTGACATTTCACTCACAGTGACGAGGAATTATATATATCAACTATTCCCGTTGGTATGACTCAAACTACTCAACCCTGTCAATATTGAGTATATACTCAATGGTGGCAGGAGTCCACGAAATATCGCATTAGATATATCACACAGTGAAACAGTATTATTAACTGGGTGACGAAGTTTCGAACACAAATTAATGCTCATAATCATATGAAATATAATCAAACAACCTCTAAACTTGAGTTTCATAGCTTTCTTTGTTCTCTCCTATCTGTTGAAGGAGTAGTAGAATTTTTCAAATGTCCGGCTCGACAGGTGTTGAATCATTCCTATTACACGTGTTTGCGGTTGATTCGATTAACAGAGATTCCGTTATCAGTCTCTTCCCCCACCCTGTTACATTAGATTTTGAAACTGTCATCTTATCCCATCCTATTGTATGGTCGCATGTTACTGCATGTGATGAGTATTATAGCTGAACTACTCTCCAGATTTCTTTCATCGGAACCAGCATGCTAGGAGTGTGTCACTGTCAGATCACATGATGCGGACACCAACATAACTAGCCAGGAAATGAAAATTCCTATCAATCCAAAAAATTTAAAACACAATTTTAATAAGACTTATCGACCCAAAATTTTTCTAAGCGAAAATACGTGACATATAAGTGCAGTCGCAAAAACGATATTGGATATTGGATGGCGACTTACTGAAACTGACCTTCAAATACTTTTGAAATTTTGTCACATGGGGTGTCTTCTGGTTGTTTCGATGTAGTTATCGGTTCATCTTCCGGCTTTCTGAGAGGATTTTCGATATGTAGTCATTCTTTGTCACCGGTTTCCTTACTTAAAAGTGAGAATATTACTGCTATGTGCTGGAGTGACGGAGAAGAATCTAAAGTTTGTTAACTTTAATTTGTAATATGTTACTTACTGGTGTTTGCTGGGTGTCATTCAGGGAAAATTCACAGTGTCGATATCAGGTGTGGTTCTTTAACTTCCTTGGATAAGATGTCGAAGTCGGCGGAGGGTTCTGTTGTCGGTTTGCAGTCCTTTGACAAGTTAGTGTGCTTCGCGAATTATTAAGCCAGTTTCATTTTTACAGCTCACTCGTCTGGGAGTGTAAAACTGTTTGATCATGACCTCACTACAGAGACTGTAAGTTGAGGCGTTCATTTATTTTCTCAGCTACAATTGTCTGTTAAAGGTCATTTATGTGCAGCTAGATTGACAGCTGGTCAGATTGCTATTGGAGGTAAAGATGTCTCACTGCGCATATGGGACATTAACAACCCTAAAGAGCCAGTTTTCGTTGCCAAAAATGTTCGTCCATCTGTTTTGCAACTCGCAGAACCCATATGGATTTCAGACATCAATTTTGTTCCAAGGACTAACGGAAAGCTTGTACTCACAGCTTCAAGACATGGTGAAGTAAGTATGTAGGCAATGGTAAAAGCATTCTATTTTAATTGTGACGGTAATTATGATTAAATTCATTTCCATACGATAACAAGTGTCCTAAATTTTAAGTAAAGCCTAATCTGTCTGTCTGTTTTCGACATAGAACTTTGCACAAATGTGCGGAAGTTCAAGTCGCCACATTCCGTGTAGCACGCGAAGCAAGAGAGGAAAGTACAAGAAAAGCATAATAGAAACAGTGAGCAGAGGTGTGAGACAAAGGAGGAGTAATAAAGAAATACAAAACAGTTTCATTGAAGATCATAAGTCACAAGGAGTGGATGCATCTGCGCCACTGAGAACGGTTTTGAGCCATCCCGAGGACCCCAGCCTGGAAGTCTACACCTTCCTACGTGGCTTAGACCAACTGTTGTGGATTTCATTGACTGATGCCAAGTTTTTGTTTGACCGCCGCTAGCTTTTTTCCAGCCTGACCCTATATCCGCTAACATTGCTCGTCGAGGGAGGCGATGGCTTGGCATACGTAACGCATGTCCTAACCATCCCAGTCTTTGTAGCTTCACGACTTCGTCGATTGATTTCCCCTGTTTACCTAGAACTCTACGCCTAACCTCCATGTTGCTCACCTTTTTATGCCACTTTACACGGGAAATAGAACGCAGGCACCTATGATCAAAGGCAGCTAGTCTTTTCATGTCTTCCATTCTCAGTGACCTAATCTGGATTCTTCAGTTCAAAATCAAAGCTATATCCTCACTTTTTTGGTGAGTAGAATATTATGGATATTTTGGTATATTGCTTTTCAGTAATTGCTTAGATCCCCTTTCTACTAGAGTTGTGTTTTCACTGCACACATGCGCTTGTTATCTTCAGCGAATAAATATGGATCCTAGACTTTTCGGTCCTATGGATTTTCATCGTTATACAAAGGATTTAACTGTTACACCCAATAACCAGTAGAGGGAAACCGAAAGCTTAAGAATCCTCTTCAAATACTAATGAATAATTAATTTTTCTGTGCAAACATACATTAGGCTGTAATATATCACCACAGCTTACGAATAAAGAGAGCATACTCATAATTGTACTTCATTAAGCACTAGTGTAGGAGAAGGAAAACACAGCGTAAATTTTACTGACCATTGGAGATTTCGATGTAAAGTGAATACATACGTGCCACTGGGTATAGTGTGAGCCATTGAATCAAGTATTTTTATTTATTCGTTCAAGACATCTCAAGGATTTCAGTCGGATAACATCTTACGAAAGCAGTGTCTCCAAAGCCTCAGGATGGTCGGGGGTGGGTGCCTTGCGCTGCGGGTTGGCCCCCCCCTCCGTACACCTCTTGAAATGATCCCATATGACCGGGCGTCTTACATAGCCTCTCCTGAGGAAGTCCTACTCAATGCCTTCACGTGGCGGAGGTGTTTTTCACCGAAGTGAGAGGGTAAAAGCGGATGCCCGGCGCTCTTCACCGGGTTGACTGTCCATTGGATGACAGTCTAGGGGAGATGGCTAAACCCTGATTCCAAACCTCCAACGACTGGCGTATGAAGCTCACTGGAGCTCACCGGCAGACGTATGGACAAAGGGCTTATTGGATGCCCCGGATGTCTGGTCCCATTGAAAAAGGCGTATGAACCGGACTCCGGTCACCGGCTGCCAGTGGGTAGTGGACTCCTTACTCCACTCCTACTGCCTTGTAGGTCACACTTGGTTGTGTAAAGGCTAGAGCTGCACTCTCAAGCAAAAGGCCGAGCGATGCTGGGGACATCACTCGTACCTAGTTCCCATGAAACTTCATGAACTCTCTATAACATTAACCAAATTCCAGTACTGGTCCAACAACGTCGCCTTCGGTGGTTTGGCCATGTTCTGGGCCGACCAGATGACGATCTGGTCAAATCAGTTCTAAATCCCTCGCCATTTCCATCTTGGCGATGTCGCAGAGGTGGAGAGCTGAAAACATGGCTTGGTACAGCCAAGGCTGATATGGAGTGCCTGGGGCTACAAACCGTCTACTGACTCCGTCTGTGGAACAAGAATTGGATAACCCTATCGCAAAACCTTGCATCAGATCGCCGCTCCTGGGCAGCGATGATTCGAGATGTTCATGAAGCCGGCTCATCCTCCCGTAGGAGATAGCCGAAGTAAAGTAAGTTACGAAAGCAGTCTAGATCAATTGTGTGTGTCAGTTTGAGTGTTTAGATTTTACTGTTGTTTGTAGTTGGCATATTTTTGTGATAGTCTATTAGGATTTAATTTCGCTTTTGAGGAATTCCAATTCAATGTTCTAAAACTGTCATATTATCCAAAATTTGTATTTTAGTTAGATTTATATGATTTGCGGTGTGGTCAACGCCGACCAGTTGCTCGTCATGCATGGCGTACAAGTCGGAAACATGGTAAACTTCATGTTGGTAGTGGGAAGCACAGTGCAGTGCTTCCAGACTTGGCTACTACTCGACCTATAACAAGAGCACTAGTATATGATAATTCACCTGGCGTAGGATTACGCGTTGTTGCTGGAAATGCAGTTGGCGAACTTTCTATTCTGGATTTAAGACTCCCACAAGAGTATTCAAACATATCCGATTGTGATAGTTCCATTCCAATACCTGTCAAAAGTTATGGAACTCGAGCTCCTGAACCTCCATCTGGTGTCCGCTGTCTAGCTGGAGCTTCTGGTTGTATAACTCAGTTAGTGTGTGGTGGAGCTGACGAAGGAAACACCGCATTGTCATCAATCGAAGCAGTTGTAAACGACGAGCCTATCATCCTGGTATCTTCGTTGGATCGATATATGCGAATATATAATCGTGATACGGGGAAACGTCTTGGAAAGGTAATTGCTGAGTATTTCGATTTGTTTGTTCATAGGGAAATAATTTAGTGAGTATTTATTGAATAATTTTCAATGCATGACATTGATGTTGAACTGCAAACCACTGAATACATAGTCATTCCTTGTATATGTTGGCAGTGCTTTTCAATAGGATGTGTTTCTTACTGTCGGTATTTTATCTCTCGACATTAGTATCTGGAGTGCAACCAGCTAGTAATACTGAAGAATTCTACCATGTATCACTGAAAGTGTCAAAGAACTTTTGTAAAAAGTATCAAATTACTATATAAAAGGAGTTGGAAAGTGGATATTTGTCGCTGTTTAAGATGATTGAGACCATTAATTCTCTCCAATATTGCCAAATAGTTCATTGTTAGGTATATGCATCATCTATCAATTTATATAGGTTCATATTTCACTTCTTAAATAATTAGTGTTTCATGTCTTAGGTTGTTCTTTAAGAGTATGATGTGTTGATATTGGTCTTTTCGTAAACATATGATCACACAAAAGGTGAACTCAATTTGCGATACTGTGCACTTTTCACCATAATGAGATTCATATTGTGTTTGAATAAAGTCGTATTTGTGTCAACTTTCTGTTTCGATCTTCATTTTTGCCCCCCCCCATCCACAGATATATGTCAAATTTCCTGTGACATCATTTCTTGTAAATAGCACAACAAGTTTCAAAAATCTTGAAAAGTTTTTAAAGAAAAACGATGGTGTTCACGCTGCAAATGATCCGGAAAGTCATGGTGAATCTCATAATATATCTGAAACAGAACAAAAAGAATTTGACGAATTATGGAGTCAAATACCAGTTGCCGAAAATGAGGTTGATGCTACTTCTAATAAAGACAATGAAGAGACTGGGAATCATAAAGTTAGTAAACGAAAACGTAAAAAGTAGTGAATGCTGCCTGTTATGTACTGTATTATATATCCTGTGTACAAATTTGATTTAATCAGAAATAAAGTGGGTTTTCATTATTTTCAAAATAAAAAGACTGACTTTATGCACACTTCGTTAACAACTTTATACAGTTATTCCAAAATTTGAGTAAAGCAAGAACGACAAATGTACCAGGACAACCTGAGCTCATTTTTTAAAATTATTTTGTGGATTCCTATCAACTGGTAACAACTTGAATAGTACCAGAATTATAAATTAAATTAAAGATCGAAACATACTTTTTTACAGTGATAAGGAGAAATTGATTGGAACTAAGATTAATATCGGTCGGGAATAATGTAAGTTGTTAAATAATTAGGAGTGAAAAGCATCGACTATTTGTAGAAGAATTGCATGATTAAGCTTGGAAACTAAAGAACAGAGTTCAACAGATGTTTTGTAGATAGAAACAAAGTTTAACTAGAAAGAGTATAAAAGTAACAGGTTACGTAACCATAGGGAAAATAATCAACACTTGTATGAAGTATGTGATTCGCTCCCACCAAATGTAAGATGATGCTACAGGTCTGGACTACATTGACTCCTAGCCTAGAAATAGGGGTGGAGTGGTAGAGCACGTTGACCACTTCAGTTATTTGGGAAGGTGCATCAGCTCCAACGGGTTGATTACTGACGAAATCTCAACACGAATACTGAAGGCTCGTTTCGCATATGCCAGTTTACGCCGTCTCTGGGGTAGACGTGATGTCCGGCTAAGTACTAGAGGACGTGTGTACTACTCAGCGGTCTTCTCCGTCCTCCTTTATGGCTGTGAGACGTGGCCTTTGTGAGTAGAGGAAATGAAAAGCCTAGTTGTCTTTGATCATAGGTGCCTGCGTTCTATCCCCCGTGTGAAGTGGTATGGTAGGGTAAGCAATATTAAGGTTAGGCGTCGAGTAATAGGTAAGCAGGAGAAATCAATCGACTAGGCTGTGAAGCTACATCGACTGAGATGGTTAGGACATATGTTATGTATACCTAGTCATCGCCTTCCTCGACAATGGGCGATGTTAGCTGATATAGAGTCAGGCTGGCAAAGAGCCAGTGGTGTTCAAGTCAAAACATGGCCTCATCAGTCAATGAAATCCACAAGTTAGTTTAAGCCAGCCAGCCATATAAGAAGGTATAGACTTCCTGGCTGATTGGGGTCCTCAGGATGGTAAGAAGCAATGGTGGCTGGATACAATTGGTGATATGGCTCAAAATCGTCCTCAATAGCTGGCGCAAATGCATCCACTCCTTGTGACTTATAATTTCCAATGAAACTATATTGTTCCTCGTTATTATTATTCTTTTTGTCTATTTCTGTCTACTGTGTCTATTATGCGTTTCTTCTACTTTCTTCTCTTGCTTTGTGTGCTACATAGAGTGTGGCGACTTGAATTGCTACAAATCGGTGCAGAGTTGTATGTTGAAAACAAATAAATGAAGTTCTTTTGTGTACTTATAAGATACTGTAAATTGATTTGCAATAATTATACTATAAATTGATCACCTAATAGGAAATCAGATTATTAGGTACATTAATCAAGATACCTGTCTGTTTTTCGTTAACACTTGACGGAACTTTGCTTTCAAAATACAGGATACACTTATTTTTGTATAATTTTCCTGTTTAAGTGTCTATGAGTATATAATCTGGGTTTTGAAGCTCTTCAGCATAAGGTGGTGTTCAAAGGCTAGTTTATGTTGAAGTTTAGTTTAACAATATAGAATGGTATTTACCTACTCAACTATATGATTATGCTTGGAAAGTAGTTGAGCGTTACCAGCTATGGCAGATCAAGGACTTATGACAGTACAGAAAGTGACAAGAAAATAATCGAACAATGGAATATCGACTGGTATCACAGGCTTTTCTGATCAGTCCAAAATGCAAGTATTATCAACCAACCTTGGACTCTTGTATGCTTCTGGAAGCTTCGATTGGTGTTTGAATATGTATGACAGAATGAGGAGCATTTCTGCTGTTCAACGTCCTGTTTTCAATCGGTAATGTAAAAAAAAGTTACTCGAAGGCGGAATATTTGACAGTGGGTACTCAGATAACAATGTCACACTGTGTAAAAACTAATATGTGCCAGTAATCGTTGAGCGTCTTGGATGGGGAGAATCCTCCAGCGATTGCACTACGTAAGGCAGCATCACTCAATGCTAACATGATCTGATTGTACTGAGCTTGTGGGGATACACCTGTGAGGAGAAGTTTCTTTCTGGAATTTCTACAACCCATAGTCGCTGTTGATGTCCAGGGGCACAGGAAGAGTGTGTTCTGTGATTGAAGGATGTGTACTGGTTTTCTGGGAGGAGCATATTGCAAGGGAATAATATGAGTTTAGAACATATGTTATGTTTGTTGGATAGAAGTATGCTTGACTGACTGGTTACAACATAGGACTTTACACAGCAGCTCGAGTTAACACAATCTATGCAGCACACAAAAGAAGAGAAAACAGATTCAGAGGAAGGATAATAAGCAGATATGTAGGGGAGGAAAGATAAGTAACATGGAAAGACTTGAGAGTTTAATGGATTTAGGCGATCACTAAGAGTGAATGTATCTGCGCTATCGCGAACAATTTCGAGCCATATCTGCAATTATCTCTAGCCATTGGTTTATAGAATCCCAAGAACGTCAACTAGGAAACCTACGCTTTCCTATATGGCTCAAACTAACTGTTAAGGACTTTCTTAAACTGATTCTAAGTTTTGGCATAATTTTTTTTTTTTAATTTTTGATTTACAGCTTGATTCCACACTGTATTTTCGGTACAAGTATGGAATTTTCAGCATGGATATCGGTAGCCCAAATTTTGCAGGCTGACCATAGATATCAGATGTGCGTCGGTGCGGGCTCGAACCCCAGACCATGTGCATGGTCGGCGAGAGTCCTAACCACTGTGCCACCGACGCACCACCATTAACTCTTTTCCAATCTAATCCTGTATCAGTTAACATTGGTGTAACACATGTCTTAGCCATATCAATCGATTTAGCTTCACAACCTCATCGACTAGCGAGTATGCTTGAGATTTCGAGTGCTTTGTATACTGACGCATGCGGCACCTTTACAGATTTTAAAATAGATGCGATCTAAAATACTGTGAAGATAGGTTGTTTTATAACCATGCAAAGTTAGCACACTGAACACTAGAAAAGGTAGCTGAGGAGAACGACACTTGAAACCTAATTTATCAATCTTAATTATATTCCAAACGCGACAGCTAAATTATTTTATTGGGTACGGTTAGTGTTTCTAAATAGGTCGTCGCTAAATGTTTGTGAATCTGTATTCATAGGTAACTGCATTGAGAAAAGATGAATGAAGGTGATTTGCTTGCAGTTCAGTCTCTCCAGTCTAAAGAATGCTTTGATTTAAACACTCTTTACTCAGGTTAGAGGTTCTTATAACTACTTCATGTGCACCACGAGATGCCCTAAACTATAATAACTTAAATATCAGACTATAAGTGGGCCAGTTTCGTCAGCCAATGTTTGATGTATGAGGTCTCAAACTACCTTTGTCAACCAGCAGTATTTACGATGTTATGAAATTGTCTGTCTCTTCTACCGGTATTTATGGTATCAATCATATCACATATTTTTATCTGAATATCCTGAAATACCAGAGGAAAACATGATGATTTTTAACGCTAGATGGTTTGATTTACAAACGATTAGTCTATTTGCAAAGAAAGTTATTTTCCTTAATCATTATTGTTCTGAATAAGTTTTAAGAATACCAAAGTGGTTACTTAGTAATAGAAATATTAGTCATTGTAATGTTTCACAGTCCTCCAGTTTAGGTAAAAGTCGAAGATCCTGTGTTTGATTGTATAGGGGCAAAAAGGTCTAATATAGCAACAAACAAAACTGTTTCGCAAACTAGAAGTTGCAAATTAGTTTGGAATTAACTAATTTGATTTATGGAATTACCAGTTCACCGAAGTAGCTAGTTAAAAGTCTGGTGGTTTGAACCAAATTCCAATGTTTGGAATGAGTCAAACCATCTACACAGCTGATGAGTCCAGCCCCAGATGAGCGAAACGACTGTTCGGTGTTTAGATCAATTCGATTTGGTTGATGTTATTAGTATACAGGTACTCATCTCAGTCGATGTGTAGTACTTAGTTCTATGCAATTATGTTTACTTTCTTGATTACCACTTACGGTGTCAAGCAGGTCAAAAATGGCTGTGGTGAGATGTCATCTCCTTGTGCTGTGTAAACTGAAAAGTTTGCGGGTACCTCCTTCACTTATCATCGAGAAAGCATCTTTTCAAACAGAGACGGATGGCACGAATGATGATATGTCAAAGCCAACCACAATTGGAAAGGTGAGATACGCTTTCATCAACCTGAAACCACTACGGAAATCTTCTGCATATATGTGAATTCGGTTCTTTTCCACGGGTGAGAAACTTGGCACATCAATCACAAAAAGGATTTCCAACAAGTTATAGTCTTTTGTAAACAGCTGCCCGCTTCGCTGATTCCATAGTGAGAAGATCAAATGACTAAGCGGCCAGAAGGAATTAGCAACAAGAAACTTTGGCCGGCTGGCTGGGAACAAACCAACAGGCGGGAGCCGATTGCTCCATAAGTATGTAGGAGGGAATAGAGGGGGATCGGGTGTACGTTGAGGAGGTCGTCGAATGACATCGGGCTCAATGCAGGCTATCTCTCTAGTGAAAGGTGAATGGGGAGTGACGAATGGGTCGTTGGTGCGAGAGTGACATGGAGGAGATCGTGTGAGTCGGAGGAAATGAGAGATTATGGGCAATCGTGGCGCCAATTGAAGGGGACAACAGAGAATAGAACGAAGTGGAGATGTGTTGTTGAATCCATATGTTCCACTTGGATTCCAAAGGAATAATGATAACAATAATAATAATCACCTCAAGGGTAACCTGAGCTCTAGTTTTGCATATATGCCATGCTTATGAGTATCGTCAAGCA